GGTTTTTGGTAAATAGGACATCAGAGTGGAACCCTCAAATGGGATTAGTGGCCTTGTAAGTAGAGACATGAGAGATGATCTCTCTACCATGTGAAGAATCCTCAAGAAAGGTCACAAGCCAGGAAGAGCCCTCACCAGGACCCAACCATGCTGGCACCCTGATCTTGGACTTCAAACCTCCAGAACAGTGACAAATATATTTCCCAATCTATGGCTCTTTTGCCAGAGCATCCGAAGGTGTGAGACATCAACCATACACAATTTTCAAACTGCCTCACATTTCCATGGAACCCCTAATGGTTCAGAGCTTAAAGGTTTAAAAGTTTAATTAAAGACCAGGTGGGAATAAAACTCAGTTGTACATTCTAGCAATCTATTTTGTGTGGCAATCTGTTTCTTTATTTACCAACTCATCTGAACACAGTGCTAGACTACATTTCCTAACTTGGTTTGCAGTCAAGGGTGGCCCCAGTGGCATTCTATCCAATGGCCTGTAGGTAGAAATGACGTGTCATCTCCAGGCCTGGCTCAGAAAACCTTCCTATGTGCAAATCCTCCATTCTGAGAAAGGACCTAGAGGAGGGTAGAGTCACAAGATGCAAGAAGCCTGGGTGAGATGCGCTGCCATGTTAAGAGGATACATGCCAGACTTTATTACTTCAGGGAGAAACTTCTATTGTTAAGGCCCTGAAATACGGCTTTTTTTTAAAAAAAGTCACAGTTCACCCACACTCAACATGGAAGTTAAAAAACAAAATAAAATCTTCACTAAGCAGTAAAAATTGTCGTTCATAGTTGACTACTAAACATTTTTACTGTTTATAAAGGAATGCATATTGACAAGGAAACACTCTATTTAGTGCTTATGCTTTCAGATGAATGTGTTCCTGAATAGTCTTCAACCTGAGTTTACAAGCAATCAGACCTTGCAAATGTATTTCCTCATTTGAACCCTCTAAAGTTATTGTAAAAGCAAACCTTCATCAGTATTATACGCCAAGACAGGGTGAGGACAATGATTATATAATTGAAGATTTTATCAGCTGCATTGTTTACATTTTTACAACAATCTGGGTAGGAATGCATCTAAAGAGTCCTTTGGAAATATTTTGAACTTTCTGAAGATAACCTAGAACACTCTGATAAAGGTCTTCATCAGTATCTTCTCAAAGCAGATGGCAGTGGCAGAAAATGGACTAAAGCAGATGGCAGCAGCAGATAATGGATTAAACACATACATCCACATTTTCTCTTTTCTTCTATCATTTTATAAATAGGACACAATGAGAAGGTCAATGTCTCCAACAACATTAAGTAAAATGTCTTGTGAACCAAAATCTAATGTGATTTGGCCAAAAACTAAACCTGAGCACTCAATTCCATAAGAAAAGGGAGTGGCTGGCACTGATTGTATAAATGGGAACTTCTTAATACTAGGGTCCTGTAAGTTCACACTCAGTGTTCACCTCTCAGCCTCTGGTATCCATGGTGAAAGGACATCATCTCATACGGAGCTGGGTACCCATGCAGAGAAGGAGAGCATGGGTACCCAGCTCCGTATGAGTTACAGTGACTAAGTTAATACACACTGGGCAAGTTTGTGCTTATCACTAAATGTGCCTCTTTCTCGGGATCATCATTAGCTAGAAGCCCCCAAGTGGCCAATAAGAGACATGGCTGTAAGGGAAGGACCTAGTTAAGTTAGAAAGAGGATTCAAGAGTTAATACCAATTCTTAAAAAAAAAAAAAAAAAAAGTCTTCTTACCTGATTGTAATTTCATCTTTATCTAGGATAAGTAATAGTCAAACTTTTAGGATTAACAAATTATACAATATTCTATAAGGTATTTGCTTTGTTTGTAAAGATTAAACTCTTTGAGTTTATTATTGCTTATATTTCAGTGAAAACAGGTGAGTTCATCCACATGGCCACTTTACTTTAAAAGTTGGGGGCGATACGGCAAAATTAGCCAAAGTGATGGAATGGATTAAGTTTAGGAAATACTGTATTTACAAAGGATCAAATCATCTCTCAGATATGAGCCCTGGAGTAAATATAGGCATCCCTTGGCTTCTGTGGGGGATTTTTTCCCCTCAAAGACAGAAAACCCCACAAATGCTTTCAAGACCCAAGTAAAATGGCTCAGTATTTGCCTATATCCTCTGCACACACTCCTGTACTTTGAGTCAACTCTACATTACTTCTAATGCCCAATCCAACATGAATGCTATGTAAGAAGCTATTACCCTCGAGTGTCTAGGGAAAAATGACAAGAAAAAAAGTCTTTACATGTTCAGTAAAGACACGACTTTTAATTCAGTTAACTGAATCCATGGATGCAAACCCTACCGATATGCAGGATGACTATGTTAAATAAAATGGTCTTAGAATCTGAAAAGAAAAACAGAAGTAACGTGGTGTAAACTCTGGATGGCTGCTATCTGCATGATTTTCCTTGATGATTTAGTTGATCCCTTATCAGATGTTTTCAGTTAATCTACTTCCTTGTCTTTTCTTTTCTCAACCAACTTCAGTTTGGGCATTCAGAACTCAATGCCCGAGACAAACACAGACACTTGAATATTGATATTTCTCCATATAGAGGCCAATCAGCGTGTTGTTGTGTATATTTATATAATGTACTGAACACAGAGGTAGCTACAGTTACATGCTTATCCAAAATATCCTGAGTTACATATTAGTTGCAAACTATTAATGACCTGAAATATTTACATTTACGTTAGCATATAAATCTAGTTACAAAGGTACTCATTCATAAACCAGATTTACTAATCTTAACTAAATGATAAGTCAGCATAACATGAAGTTATATGAAGATGACTATAGTATGTACATCATACACATTATATGGCAGGATGAGAAAATTAACATTCATGGAATAAAAGAATAAATCTATAACCAACTATAATTCATTATAAAACTAAAACCTGAAACAACTGGGATAAGAATGGAAGTAAAGACAACAAGCACTACAGAAACAAGGAAATGAGGTACCCAGCACAGTGGCCCCAGCATCATGAAACATGGACCTGGTCCTGGGCTGGCCTTTCCAACAAGTCAGAAATCCTTCGTGTCTCAGCCATCAAACTTTTTAAGTGAGCAAAATGAATGTGCTGATTTCTAAGAAAACTGCAGTATTTGATAAGTTTCCAGTTCTATGAAAAAATGCGGAAATCTCAGCCAGCAATAAGCTATAAATCAGAAATGGCAAAGGTCAGGGAAAACACAATGTATTATTCATATCTTATATATAAGCATGAAATTTTAATTCAATCAAATGCTAGGATGCAGAAAGTCATCACTTATCACTTTCTATGCTACAAGTAACAATATACCCTTGGACAGTTTTAGGGGTTCAAGTGGTTGATTTCTTATTTAGTCCTTCTCCAACCCTGGCCCCTGTTCTTCTGTTACTAAAGGGAAATTATGTTTAAACTAATAAATACTCATTGAATGGAGAATAATTCCAGGACAGGAAATCCCTCATGACCTAAGGAGATGTAGGAAAGAAATGCAATAAAGACCTCTCCATGTGTACAGTTGACCAACGAGGCAGGCAGGCTAACACTGCAATAACACAATGCAAAATAACAGAGCAAAATAAAAATAGGAATAGGAATTGACTTTTTCACTCCACTTCTTATTAGCTTATCTTTGTCATTTCCAAACACCACCTTACACACAATACATCAATTTACTCGAAGACCCTGGGCCAGGAAGGATATTAAATATACAAATAGCAATTAAAAATACAAACAGCAAATCCATTCCTTGGTCACCTCCTTGTTTCCCATACCCAAAAGAATTTCTCTAAAAACGAACATCTAAAAAAAGACATGGAAGTGCCAGTTTTATTACTGTAAAGAAAAATAACCCATTTCTAATGCAGTATGCTAATGAAGAGTGAACATCTCCCCGACAATGGGTGGTCCCGCAGTGCTTCCAAGAATGGCTCTCTGTAAGTGAGCACCTAATTTCTAGAATTCGAGATTTTTTTGAGCTAAGCTGTCTGCTTCTTTTAGAATTTTTTGAATATGTACTTTGAATCTGCCTTGATTCAAACCTTTAGACTTCTGAAAATAGATCTAAGCTGTGCAATTTTTCAGCATCTGAGAGGGAACCCCAGTGAGATTCAGGACAGGAACGGGTAAGGACTGCAGTGCCTCTATGACAACTAATGATAACTTTTGGATGAGAGCTGTTTTGCCATCAGAATGCAACTTAAAGGTCAGTATGTTAGCATGAACCTAAGGAACTTGAAGTATAAAACAAAAGCCAACAAAAGGGCCAATATTAAAGAAATCAGAAGGATTGAATTCAAACCTTACCTGGTAGCTCTTCATTTAAATTTAAGACTAACACAGCA